CTAGAGAGGAAAGAACAAAAGAAAATAAGAGAGGTCAGCAAAGTACCACTTGTATCTGCCACATGAAGCCCAACATACATGTCACAGGGAGACAAGCTTACAAGGAAATACATGTTCTGCAGAAGTCATTGCTGCCAAAAGCATCTTTAACATGCCTTTGCTCCAAGTTTGAAGTTTTTTTCAAAAGCCAAAGTCAAGGGTCAAATTGCTGATGCAAAGCACTTCATTAGAAGTGTACCATTCTAAAATTTTTTTTCAAGGTGATTATAAAATGTGAAAACTTAAATCATGACATATTCTTTATTACTTTTAATAATGATTTGAAATGCTATTCCTAATTACTTCCATAAATTATATGCTTATAGTCAGAGGTAATGCAGTATAATGACCATACACTTAAGTACTAAAAGAACCTCTACTATCTACCTAATATTGTGCTGACTTTTGCATTTCATTTCTTCAACTTCGATGAGACCAGAAAATTCTTTAAGATTAAGGAAATGGTATCTTAAAGTAGAAGTAAAAATCAGTAGTTGCCTGTATATACCTCACTTATTTCATTTTAAGTTGATATTATTAATGTTCTTTTAAACATAAAGATGTGCTTTTATGAAAAAGTACTTTTATTTCCTATTATTTGAAGGGATTTAAAAAGTAAGTGAAGTTATATGCTTGCACAGTTTGATAATATCTGACTATACAGCATTTCTCTACAAAATGGCTTTCCAATTCATGGACACTTACCGTAATTATTAATTATTTTCCTAATATGTTATATTTAAACTTACTACTAGCTTATGTCTCTGTATATTATTACCTGCTTTATACAAATTTTGTATATTTACTGTCTAGCTTTTGTATATATTTCATCTAGCATTTGTAAAATAGAATCTATAATAAACATTGTTAAAAATGTAAACAACAAAAAAAAAAGTGTACCATCCTATGAGTTAACTTCAATTAGAAGCTGAATGTGTAAACTGATGACTTTGACTTAGTCCTGAAGTTGCACCAGGTTCCTTTCCCGAACAGGGTCAATGAATTACCACCTCAATTCAGCCAATACTCAGGACTAAGTTAAAGAAAACATCATTTAAGGGATCAAGGCAAAACCCTGGCTAGTGTGAGCAAGCTGCTGGAGAGTGAATTAAGCACAACCAGAAAGAACAATTTATAATAAGACAATGCCTTTGTAAGGAAAAAACAACTTCCAAAGACAAAAGGACTTTGACCAAAGCCAGATCTCCAGAGGATCTATCATGAAACATGTTACTCACCTCCTGGTGAGACTGGATGGACTCAAGGAACAGAAAAAAACAGCTGCTTTGTGGACTTGTTTTGCTTGACTATGCTCATTTATTACAAGGGTTATTTTCTTATCCCTCAGTTATTAATAAAGGAAAGGAGGAGCGGCAATAATGATGTCAAAAAATGTCACTGAAACTTCTTTTTTGATGAATGGAGGAGAACAGAAGAGAGTACAAAAGGAAACATAGACAAATAAGGTAGCTCTGAAAGTAATGTGGAATTATACACTTTTTTTAAAAAAGCAAGCAGCTGGGAATGGAGATTCATGGTTTCATATACAATCCTCTTTCTGTGTTCAACTGCGTCAATGGAAATGATCATTGCTTGGCTCAGAATAAATTGTTAAAAAACCTAATGCCTACACCACAAGGCAATGTTTGCCACAACAAACATTCTTCTTTTCTAAATCAGAGATAACTTTTACAAAAAGACATTTGCACAAGGGCAATGGAAACTTTAAGTTGCACCATATACTACTGCATCCTTACAAACGTGTACATCTTGCTGCCAGCAGCCCATGCAGTCAAGTTTATGCCTTCCTGATGTTCTCTAAAAACCAAGACAATGATCAAGCATGTTCAGGACATACACACAGATGTAAAGAGGGATTATCCCTTACTCTTTTCATTTCAGCTTGTCTTTTTGTTAACCATGAGAAACCGACGGAAATTACATACAAAAACTTCTAGAGCTGAAATACTAAGGAGGCCAGGTTACCATAAAATCAGGAAGAGCTCAAGCGTAGAGTCTTCATTACTGTACCTACAACATTATTGTACCTACAAAATGCAGAAATAGAAGAGATGCTTCTAAGGAGTTGTTTGAATGTGGCACTGGAGCTATTTAAATCTTCACTCAGTATTTGTAAAGGAGATAAGCTAGAAGCCTTCCCACAAGATCAGGAGTGAAACAAGAATGCCCACTGTCACCAATATTATTCAATATTGTATTAGAAATGCTAGCAACAACAATAAGAAAAGGAAAAAAAATTGCAGGAATTAGAATGGGCAATGAGGTAATAAAACTATCTCTTTTTGCAGGTGATTTGATATACTTGGAAAATTCTAGAAATTCCACTAAAAAGCTAGGTGAAACAATAAAAATTTTAGCAAAGTAGCAGGATGTAAAATAAACCCACATAAATCATCACATTTCTATATATCACCAACAAACCTCTGCATGAAGAGATAGTAAGAGATACCCCATTTAAAATACCATAGATATAGAATAAAATACCTGGGAGTATACCTGCCAAAACAAACCCAGGAGGAACTACAGGTACATAATTATAAAACATGTTTTATACAAATGACGCCAGATTTAAATAACTGAAGAAATATTAATCGGGCATGTGCAGGCAGAGCCAATATGATATAAACGCCAATTCTGCCTAGTCTACATATTCAATGCCATCTCAATTAAATTACCAAAAAATTATTTCATTGAGCTAGAAAAAAATAAAAAAATTCATTTGGAAGAACAAAAGGTCAAGAATACCAAAAGAATTGATAGAAAAAAATGTAAATTTCTGGGATATGAATTCAGTATTTGGTAAAAATTGTTGGGAAAACTGGAAAACAGTCTGATAGAAATTGGGTATAGACCAATATCTCATACCATTTACCAAAATAAGGTCAAAATGGATACATGACCTAGATATAAGGGGAGATATTATAAGTAAATTAGAAAAGCATGGGACATATTACCTATCAGACTTATTAACAGGAGAAGAATTTATGAATAAACAAGAGACAGAGCACTGTGGGATGTAAAATGAATAATTTAGATTACATTAAATTAAAAAGGCTTTGTACAAATAAAACCAATGTAGCCAAGATCAGAAGGAAGGCAGAAAATTGGGGGAGGGAGGGGGGGATTTCATAGACAGTTTCTTGGATAAAGGTCTCATATCTCAAATACACAAAGAAGTTTGTAAAATTTATAAGGATATGAGTATTCTCCAATTGATAAATGGTCAAAGGATATGAACAGGCACTTTTCCCATGAAGAAATCAAAGCTATATGTAGATATGAAAAACTGCTCTAAGTCATTATTGATTAGAGAAATGCAAATTAAAACAACTCTGAGATATCATTTCACATGTACCAGACTGGCTAAAACGACAGAAGAAAAAAACAACAAATGCTGGACGGGATGTGGAAAAACTGAGACACTAATGCATCGTTGGTGGAACTGCGAACTGATCCAACCATTATGGAGAGTAATCTGGAATTATGCCCAAAGAGTTATATAAACTGTATATACCCTTTGATCCAGTGATATCACTACTAGGTCCGTTTTCCTAAGTGATCAGAGAAAAAAAGAAAAAGAACCTATATGTTCTAAAATATTTATAGCAGCTTTGTGCTGACAAAGAACTAGAAACTGAGGGGATACCCATCAACTGGGGAATGGCTAACAAGTTGTGGCACATGAGGTGTGGTCTAGAGTAACTGTCAATCGAATACTTTTTCTTGGGGCATAAAGAGGATGGAAAGGAGTATGTTGCCATCTCTTGAAAAAATTTTGCTTCTTTCCTATTTGAATGATCATAAAAGCTATTTACTAAAACTGGAAGGTGACTATGCAAAATAGAGGAGGAATTTGGTTACAGGTTATACTGTAGGAGTGACCACGTGGAGTTGGATTTGTTTTGCCTTTTATGGGATTATTCACAAGGGCTACTAGTGAATTCCCTTAAAATTTTATGCAGAAAGTTAAAATGTAGCTCCCAAAAAAAGACATGAAATTGCTTATGTGTTTGTATAACTACTGTCTGGAGTCAGAGCCTGGTCAAGGGCAGTCTTTGGAAGCAATGCCTGCTCATTAGAATGTGTCACTGCCATCATGCAGGCCTCTTTCCTTAGTCTACCTGTCAGAAAGCAAAACTATCCACTGGGTTGGCATTAATTTCAAGACATCTTATTGTTTCCAATGGGAGAAAGAAGTGAGTCCAGTGTAGATGCCACAGAGAACCACTGTCTTAGTTATAGGTCTCTGGAAGCACACACTTATTTCAGGAACATCTGCCTTTACATTTCTAATACTGGGAAATGAATCAAATGGACAAAACATCTTATTTGCAAACAAATGTGATTTGCTCCAAGCGTCCAGCTGCCAAGAGCTGCTTTCAGCCTATGCCAAGAAGCCCTTATATTACTCCACCTTTCTGTCGATGTGAGATCCATTTCTAGCTCATCTCATTTCTCTTTAACTATACAACCTGAGATACTTTTGACTCCTCAACCCAAAAGTGGCACTGTTTACAAAAAATGCTGATCATAATAAGCCTTTTAGTATCAGAATCCTGGAAGCTAATTTAATTGGAAGGAGGACCAGAAGGGAGAAAAAAGAAAATGGAAAGTAGCCAAGCAATTTCCACTCTAACCAACTCCAGAAAGAGCGCTCAAGTATTCCAGATCGAGAAGCAACAAATCCCTGAAACACCAAAGTGCTTTCTGTTTGGAAGCTGGGAAGAAAATCCATCCCATAAATCTGCAGAACCATCTCAAGCCAAAGAAGAACAGTCTATCACTGGTCAGGATAATTGTTCCTGTCTTCCATCAAAGGACATTACTGCTTAGGAGGGAGATGTCCAGACCACTGCTCACATACAATAGCATAGTCCAAGGTCTCATTAGCAAAGCAAGGACTGCATGTGACCAAAGAAAAGATGGGGAGAGAGACTTACCAGGCTGTCCAACCCTCCTCCCAAGAGGTCCACAGCCCCCATCTGCATGGAGGAAACCTGGGGCACATTGACAGGGGGACCCAAGTCGAGGTTCAAAAGGTCGCCCAGCAGGTCACCCTGAGAGGGGATGACTTGAGGCTGTTCCAGATTGGTTGTGGTGGTGGTGCCAACAGGACTATCTCCAGCATCGGTACTGTAAAAATGGAGAGAAAAATAGAATATGGAAAAGTCAATTCCACCTAGAACATAATTTTAAAAAACAAAAAAGGTGACTAACATATATATTAGGAAAACACAACAGACACGAAAAGACACTCAATTTATACCCACTTCTTCAAACACCTGTTTGTATTGTCCCCTAGAAGGCTTCCTGTTGTCTTTGATGTGACTCCACCCACAAATGTCCCATAACTTTTGATTGACCAGACAACATGACCCTCATCACTTGATTTTTGTTCTCTCCTGGAGCAGATTTTGAGACAAAGAACAAGACGTTTCTGTCCTTAACTTTTGGGTCACCTGCAATTCTGTTGCTTTGGAAATTATGGTGTTCCATGATCCCTCCCTCTTTCCCAATACAGCATTACCTAGAAAATATCCTTAAAAACAATGGATTTTTTTTGGCCAGCGATCAGTTTCAAGCCCTCTGAAATTTCCTAAGTGCCACCTAGCCCACTCTATTCCCTCAATTCAATTCTAGGCCTAACTCGGTATCTATAATGTTTATCCCAGATGTGTGTACAGATACAGCTATTCAACAGATGGCCTGACAACCACACACCACAGACAGAGCAGCAGAGCTTTCTTCATGAGGCGACTCTTCATTTATCTCACTTTCCCTAGCTGGATGATTAGATTTCTTCTGACTAATTTCATTGAGGAGGCCCTGTGATATTTTGGCACTTGTCCCCTCCAAGAGAACTTAAGTCCTTTTCTGTCCCGTATGTTGAGAAATGAAGTTGATGAGATGAAAAGGGTCCTGAAGGAAAAGGGGGAAAAGATTCTGTGAAGAGCCTGGAGTACAAGTTTGGGCAGTTTAGATTTGATGCGATAGGCAATGATGAGCCACTGTGGGTTCTTGAATACTTGAATGATAGGATGAAAATTACAAGGAAGCAGCCAATTGTAGGATGAATGCACAGGAAGAAAATGAAGGTTGAGAGATTAGCTGCTAAAATACCTCAGGTGAAAAGTGAGGTGATTAAGTCCAGAACTGGGAGGGGTAGTTGTGAAAATTCAAAAGGAAGAGACAAGTCCAAAGAATATTTGAAGAAGTAAAACTGACAGAATTTAGTAATGGATGAGATGTGGGCAGGGGGGAGGAAAAAAATGTAGAGAGAATTGAAATGACTGAGAGAAGAAAAGACAAAGAAGACAAATTCAGAGAATAACAAGAAGTCAGTCTTGTATCAACTGATACAGGGTGAAAAAGAACAAGAAAACAATCTATATAATCACTACAATAATGTAAATGAAAAACAAAAAGGCAGTTCAATTCAGATCAGATGCAATGGTCAATACCATTCCCAAAGAACAGATGCTGAAACATGGTCAGAGACTCCAGGTGCAGAATATTGCAGATGCTGACACATACAGTAATTGTTTGTGCTGGTTTTGTTTATTTGTTTTCCTTTAATACAAGGAATGATTAGGGAAGCCGAGCATAACACTGAGAAAACACTATAGTGTCAAAAAGGTATCAACACAATTTTTAAAAGATATAGTTTAAAAAAAAAGAAGAAAAAGAAAGAAAGTGACAGAAGCACCAGGAAACCAGTGGCACTACAAATGTTTTTTTTAAAAAACAAAAAGGGATACTGAAAGAAATGAGATCAATTTTCAAGCTTAATTTTTTAGTAATGGTGCCACATGCAAATGGTAGGTAAAGGAAGAGAAAGATCTGGGCTAGAGAAACAAACTAGTCAACAGATTTTGTATAGACAACAATGGAAACCACAACAATTGCTAAATTCTACTAAGAGATCAAGTAATTAAAAGGGAAGGAACAAAGGGCTTTGACATCATACCCACAGTTAATGTACAGGTAGAAGGGAAGGATAAAGAACAGTCATATAGGGTACAAAAGAACAATCCAACAAAAGAGTAAAGGGGGAACCCAGTCATGGAAGCCAAAGAACCCTCAAACTTCAAGAAGGTAATCAGTGTCAAGTACAGCAGGAAGATGAAAAAAAATTGGCCAGGAGCACCCCAAAATTTCACCACATCCATACCTTATGTCCAAGGCCCTGTCTTTTGTATCTGACACTGAGTAATGTGTAAGAATATATGGGTTACCAACATCAACAGGTGGCAGATCGAGTAACAAGAGAGAAAGTATACACAAATCCTACAGATCTGAAATGGAAAACTCAGAATTTAAGTATGGAGGTCTATGGTAGAAACTACTTCCAGATACAAAAATTTCTTTTAAAAAACCACACACAAAGGGGCAGCTAGGTGGCGCAGTGGATAGAGCACCGGCCCTGAAGTCAGGAGGACCTGAGTTCAATTCCGGCCTCAGACCAAACACTTGTCACTAACTAGCTGTGTGACCCTGGGCAAGTCACTTAACCTCAATTGCCTAAAAAACAAAACAACAACAAAACACACACACACACACACACACACACACACACACACACACACACACA